TCCCAATTAAAACATTTAAAAAAAAAAAAAAAAAAAAAGCTTTCACTCGCATATATGTCATAAAAATATTTCTGTGCATTTGGAGCTTAAACTACTTGACAGTATTCCTTTTAAAAGACAAAAAATGAAAATGTTAAGTGTCAACTCTACAACTCATTGTTTGAGAGCCTCATTAGAATTGTATAATACAAGACAAGAAGGCAACTCACCTTTTGTGTATTTTTAAATGTGAGAAGCAAGCTTATCCTTTTTTGGATGAGTTCTTCTATACTCGAAATTGGCTAAAATGTCAGCATGGTAAATCATCTATTTTATAAAGGAGTCCCATAATTCAGGTGATTATATACTACATTACTTAGATTTAGCTGATTGTAGGTTAGATCTTTTTCTATATAACATGAAGAACTGAGGAAAAAAAGACCTCCTGGATTTAAAATTCTTTAGATTGTATCAGCTGCTGGATGATCTGTACATTTGAGTGCGCGATTATTTTTTATTTTGTGTTTTTTTACTAAATGCTGATAATGTTGTGCTCTTTCCTAAAAGAAAACATATTACTTCCTATCAGCGGGTCTGATAATACATAGATCTCAGATGCAAGATGTTTGGCTATGTGTAATCTTAATTTGCGTGGCATGATGTCTGATTCTTGAATTCCAACATGGTTTCCTCTGACTGTGACTGGTGTCTGACCAAGGATTGAATTCACCACACTGGCTTGGGATCAACTACAGTGCAGCATTTAACTAAGGTATTTCTCAACAAAAGGAACACTCAAAAATGCATTTTGGAGTATGTGAGCTCCGGGGGAAATGGGAAACTTGCACTTGACTTTCTAGCGAAGCCAGTCCCATGATAGAGTTGATTTAGTCTGCATCCAGGTCACACAGTGTCCAATGCCTAAGCTTCAGACATTCGTATCTGCAATTGCCTGATGCAGTCTAATCAACCTTTTTAGACTCAAGTTACCCCTTGGAAAATGTCATTTAATTTTTTTGACTGTGGAAAGATAGAACAAATCTTCTCTTGTAAAGACCTCAAGCAGACCATAACAGGTCAGAATATTTTTGACACTGTTATTTTCTGTTTGAAATATCTGGGTTTATTATGTGTAGGTGTTTGCACAACTAACAACGGTAATATTAAGTGTCTCCCTCCAGCACCCTAAAAGGATCTTTTGGCACCTTGGTTGAGAATTGCTGACATGGGGCATAAGAGTAGGGGGTCTTCTCTGGGCCTTAGTATATGATTTTGGTTCCCCTTTATGAAAACTCCATAGCCATAATCAGATCTTTGTTTTCCAGCCAGCTGTGCTTGCATCAGCTCCATTTATAGCCTAGGCAGCTAGCAGGTGTCAGTGTTCAATAATAAACTGCTTGCCTTGTAGCATATGTAAAAAACCCAAAAAACATAAAAACGATTTATTTGAAAAACTTAAATAAATTGAAGTTAGTAGTCTTGCTAATCATCAGAAAGGGCTTTGTCTTGACCTGAGTGAAATCAGTAGGAAACTTGATGTGGTCTTCAGTAAGGGAAGAGGGAGGCATTTTTATGCCATCCTCGTTTTAGCAGCATTGAACCAGAATGTCAGTTTGGAACCCTAAAGGGAGTTGAAACTAATGGAAGGTATAATAGCCTCAAAAACAGGGGGGAAAACCATGCAGAATTCAGCTTTTTTTGCATATAATTGTGGGCATGAATATGGCATCACAAATTTTTCACTTAATTTCAAATTTCCCTCAGAACTGGGATGCATTTTAAATGTAGGTGGCTTTGCATAGGAAGCGTATGGAAATATTGAAATATGCACCTTTTACATTGGAACCATCTAAGTTCCCTTTCATTTCAGAGGTAAAGCCGCCCTTGATGGAAACACAGGATAGAACACGTTGCCGGTCAGACATGTCTCCATTGTCTATGTTCAGTACTGGCATGTTCCGGTTTTGGTGACAGTAAAGAAAACAGCAGCAGAACGTTAGAGAGAGACCGGTGTCTTAGTGCTCTGTCCACCGTTCTCTAGGACAGTTATTTCCAAATTTTTTCCAACAGCCACTGTCAACTTTCAGTATTTTTCCCTCCACCTTTTGCTTTTATCATTAAACTTTTAATTGGCAGGGAAAGAGGTCTTGTGCAGTTTATGGATCATGTTTTGGGAACCACTGCTCTAAGATAAGTGTCACTTCCTCTGAATATAGAAACTGCTGTTGTGAGTACATATGAGTCCAACATAACTCTTATTCCTCCCCTAGCCACTTACCTAATATAATTTTGTCTGATGATCAGGCCTGAAATGTCATACAGCCATAACCACAAGTTGATGATGAAGGCTTGAACAAATGGTATGCTGTAGTGTAGTGTACAGAGATACTGCTCCGCAAGCTAGGTGTCTATGTCTCACAGACAGATGTTGAACACTTCTTGGTAGATACCCATATACATATGATAAGCATCTGTATACTAGACAGCTCAAAAATGTACAAATGCACAGCCCAAGATGGGGTGGTGGGGGCACTTCAGGATGAAATTCAGAGATTGAGAGTGAGTGCCCTCACTGAGGATGTTTTTGAAGCAAGTAAGTAAACAGCAGTGTCTCTGGCTACCAGGCACTCCCCCTTGGAACTGTGTGCATTGGGGCTGGTGGAGCTTCACCCAGTTTTATCCATTCCCTTATGGGCTTGAGAGACAGGCAGGTAGGGCTGGGGCATCTGCAAGGGCTGCGTAGGCAAGAAGTGAAGCATGGCACAGGAATGTACTGGAATGAAAGGCATACAGCAGGCAGAAAGACCCTGGGGGTGCCTCCTCAGTGGCCCCTGCTGCCATGTACTGTCAGTGCCCCCCCACCCCTGTGGGCTGGATCCCAACTCTTAGTGGGCTGTAGGCTGTCAACCCCTGTCCTAAACACCAAGATTCCATAGATAGGTTTCATGATGCAGAAATAGTTGATCCCCCAGTTCCTGCACGGCAGGAGATGAGGTCAACAAGGAACATCTGCTATTTTGCATGGATGTAAGACGTTGATTCATGCCTCTTTTAAGCTTGATTCTATAGGTGTTACTCAGTGGGAGCTTTGCCTCAGTAAGGCCAGCAAGATCAAGCTCTTAGTGAACAACACTGGACTGGGTGTACTAAATATATTTGACTGAACAGAGAAAACTGCCTGGTCATTTCTTTGTCCATGATGTAACTGCCTGTTTTGCAAAATATACAGCATACAAAATAACCTATGGAGCACAACTGAGCTCACTGCTCTGTATCAAGTCAGATTTTTTCCACCATGGTCTGCTCATTGTGCTGGAGAGTGTGAGGCCCCTGTTTTGGAAAGTAACATTTTAAAACTCAGGCTACGTGGTGTACACAGCTGCTTTTGCATGTAAAAGACTTCACATGGAGAAAGGAAATGAGGTCCATGGGATAACATGTGATAGATAAATACAAAGCTGTTAGATGGGTGAGAGGAGGAATCTTAGTTAAGCATATTTAAAAAAAATTATAGCTGTTTTTAGTGGTTAAGACACTACTACTTTAAGAACCTATTAAAAACAGAACTTTTAATGATCCTTGAAAATTGTCTGTTCCTTAATTTTAGTACAAGGAAGTGAATAGAATGGGAACTTTTAATGCCAGAAAACGTACAATTTAACACATAAAAGCACTTATTCTGTGGACATTTCATTAGGGAAATCCCACAGTATGTCTCCACTTCTTACTGCAGAATGTCACTGATTCTTCCTATAATTCTACCTAGTTCATCTACTACCCGAGTGGGAATGGGAACATCTCCAGTGATAAGTGCCAGTATCCATTATAGGAACATTTCTACCTGAGAGAAATGTTGTTACAATCTGTGCATTCTCCTTTGCCTGAGGAAAGGCAAGTGAACCCAAAAGCTTGCAAATAAAGACATTTATTGCAATTACATAGCTGGTGTAATAAAAGATATCACTTCTGCCAAGAGTTCTGCAATATCCAGTATAACTACTTTTTTTGCCTTCCCTTTTTCACTTCCTTATAACTTTTGAACAGTTTTTCTTTCTAGATCAAAACTGCTTATATTTCATTTTACCAACAAGTAAATACTATTTTTGGAAATTATAGTGAATTTAGTTTTTGTTTTGGTATCCATGGGGGCGGGGGGGGACTTTCCTGTATGTTGCTGTCACAGTTCATAACGCAGAACTGAACTGGCTGAAACTAGAAACAAACTGAACTTGTACTGTAGCTTTGTTGAGGCATCTGAGCACTCTGTTTAAACATATGCTTAGTGCTGCTTATTACACAGCCATCAAGATAATGCTTAAGTCTTCTGGGCCTGGAACTATGGTTCTGGTCATATACAAGGACCTTTGTGTAAGCACAC